CCCCCCCCCCCCCTTCTCATCTTCCTTACCTTCGTTGCATTAAATATTCAAGCCACCTTTGCCCTCTGCACTGGACCAGCCGAACCTCAAAACAGCCTCTCAAGAGAAACTACCAACCCTAGTCACAGGCCAATAAGCTACATTGTAGCCTGTCATCAATTAGCAAAGTTATCACAGTGGGTCAGAAACAAACAAACGGAAGTTGCTATTAGAATTGCCCTGCAGGTGTCCTGTGAACTCCTGAAACAAATTCCATCTTTTATGAAGTAAAGTGCAGGCCACCAACAATGTTTCAGTTTCTAAGCATCAAAGGACTATCACAACAGCCAGCCTTAGGGTATGTAAGAAGCCTTTGTTACTTTTGGCAGTTCAGGGTTCATAGTGATGTAAAGAGTCCTAAAGACACAGGGCAAGACACCTGCTGCTTTTGCTGAGAACTTGGGTTCAGATCTCAGATAACTTAAAATGATCCGTACTCCATTTCCAAAGGTCCAGTGCCCTCTTCCCTGTACATACAATCAGGAAATATTCACCTAAAATAAAAATAAATAAAATAAAAATAAATCTTAAAAAAAATTAAGCCAGGAGGTGGTGGCTCATCCCTTTAATCCCAGCTCAGGAGCCAGAGGCAGTTTGGATCTCTGAGTTCCAGGCCAGCCTTGGTCTACAGAGAGAGTTCAAGGAGAGCCAAGGCTACAAAGAGAAATGCTACCTTGAAAAAAAAATTTTTTTTAGATATTGGTTGACTGTCTCTTATGATTCTGTTGGTGTGAGTCAACATCCCTTAGTATGACTTAATAAATTAACTAGCAACAAAGGACATTCATTTACAGTCAGAAAGACTGCTGTTGACTCCTTTCTTCCTCTTTCTTCTTCTCCTTCTCCTTCTTCTTCCTCTTCTTCCCCTCCTCCTCCTTCTTCTAATTTTATGTGAATGAGTGGTTTTGTATGTATATCTATGCACCACTTGCATGCACAGTACCCACAAAAGCCAGATGGTGTCAAGACCATAAAACTCCCAGCAAACCATGGGGTTACCGGGGGAGCTCATATATCATATATTCGGTGTGCATTATTGGAATTATTAAATGTATTTTTTATTTAAAATACCTCAAACTTGAGATGAGTTTAACTAGAGACGGAGTTATAGTTTGTTTGTTTCAGGTTAGGTTTTTTTTTTTTTTTTTTTTTTTTTTGGTTTATGAAGACAGGGTTTCTCCGTCCTGTCTGTACTGGAACTTACTCTGTAGACCAGGCTGGCCTCAAACTCAGATCCACCTGCAGCTGTCTCCCAAGTGCTAGGATTAAAGGACAGCACCACCACCACACAGCTAAGTTAGTTTTGAGCCACCATATGGATGTTGGGAATTGAACTCAGGTCCTCTTGGAAGAGCAGCAGTCAATGCTTTTTTTTTTTTTTTTTGAGTTTCACATCATGCACCTGCACTCAGTCCCACTCATCTCCCTGTCCCCTCATAACCACCCTCTTCCCTTGCAACTTCTCCACAAGAAAAGCATACCATACATACACAACACACACACATACACAACATAGAAAGCATCTTGTGGACACTGTAGTGTGTCACAACGTGTCCACAATATACCCTTTTGTCCACACGTCTTGCAAATGTTCATCACATTTAGTCATTGGTCTGGCTTGAGACTTCTGCTATATTATCAATACCGGATCCTCACAAGACTCCTCTCAGTTATCCTGTTGTTGCCCTGGATCATGGAAATCCTGTAGCTTTGCATCTGCAAGACCAGCCCTTTCACAGGCTCCAGCAGTTCATAGATGAGTTTCATTTTGGGGTGGGCCAACTCAAAAGCGCTAGATCTGGGTGGTAGCTGAGACAGATGGCTAGCCCACAGGCTCTCTCATAGCTGCACCACCAGAGCTCTCCAGCACTGCTCCTGCTAGCTCACCCAATATAGCAGCTAGCTGTGAGGGGCTGGGTCAGCTCCCTCTCTCATTCCCTCTGGGCTGGCTGTGTTCCTCAGACAAGGTGCAAGACCACCCACAAGTGCTGCCTGCTCTCCAGACTCCCTCAGGTGTTAAGGGGTGGGGGAGGGCATCTCCACTGCACCCATGCCCCATCATGGCAGTGGGGCCAGCTTATCTGTGTCACAACCACCACCACCACAAGAGCCAGTTCTGTGCTGCCCCTGCAAGGTGAAAAGCCTGCTCTCCTGATTGCTATAGCCAGTGAGAGATGTGGCCAGCTTCCCAGAGTACTGCAGTCAGTGAGGGGTGAGGCCTGCTCTGCACAGCCCTTGGACATCTATGAGGGCCCACGCGGCAGCCCAGACCAGGGAGGTCTGCATGGTCTATAGTAGTATGAGCCAAGAAATCGACAGGCCCCTGCTACTACATGACCACAGACCCAGACATGACTCTCAGAGACAGCATGGCATCCAGTGCTCTTAACCACTAGAGCGTTGTCTCTAACTCTCACCTTACTTCTCTACACGTCCAACACGAGGATAGTTGGGGTACCTAACTTAAAGATGCACTCTATCACCTGCCTAAAACTCGGGGGGAATTAGTATCTCGATTTAATATAGCCCCAAGAGTTCAGAGATGTAAGCTGTACAGGACTGAGCATAATTTCTTTGTTTTATCCGTTTTTAAGGCAAAAGTCTCACTATACAGCTCAGGCTGCCCTCAAACTCAATGTCTTACTATTTCTGCTTCTCAAGGTCTGGGATGGATTATAGGAGTGTAAGGAACCGTCAGACCTATGGGAGATGAATTTCAGACTGGCCCATAATACAAGCAGCACCATGCCTGCTGTCACATGGGTTGCCTGGCAGCCAGCCACTACAAATCACCCAATGTCACTATCACCATGTCTTTTTCTTTTTTTCTTTTTTTTTTTTTTTGGTTTTTCGAGACAGGGTTTCTCTGTGTAGCCCTGGCTGTCCTGGAGCTCACTCTGTAGACCAGGCTAGCCTCGAACTCTCAAACTCAGAAATCCGCCTGCTTCTGCCTCCCAAGTGCTGGGATTAAAGACGTGCGCCACCACCGCCCGGCTGTCCTTTTCTTTCTAAAGGTTTCTAAAGGACTGAGTCTATGTGCGTGTGTGTGTGTGTGTGTGTGTGTGTGTGAGAGAGAGAGAGAGAGAGAGAGAGAGAGAGAGAGAGAGAGAGAATTTTTCTCTGTGTACCCTGACTCTGACTGTCCTGAAACTTGCTCTAAAGACCAGGTAGGCCTCAAAGTCAACTCAAACATTCTCCTGCCTCCGCCTCCTGAGTGCAGGAATTAAAGGTCTGGATCACCACAGCCAGTGGGATTCAGATTTTCTAAAGGATCTTTAGAATTCGAATTAAGACAGATGACCCTAAAACCATCCTGAGAGAGCAGAATGGCAACGTGAGGATCCAGACAAAAAGCCACAACAACTACTAACATTGTTTTTGAATATTCTTTATAATGTTTATGTGTGTGTGTGTGTGTGTGTACATGAACACATGTGTAGGTGACCAGAGAGGCCAGGGGAGGGCATCAGATCCAGAAATGTAAGTACATAGATACTAGGAACTGAACTCCAGTTCTCTACAGGAGTGTTCCTAGTCACTAAACCATCTCTCAACAGAAACCCCTAATATTTTTTCTTAAAAAAAAAGAAAGAAAGAAAGATAGAAAGAAAACAATATGTATTCATCTAAAGTGCAAGTCATGAAACATAAGCCCAGAGGCCAATTTCCACAATGTTTTTAATTGTATATCAGTGATGGAAAAGCAATTGTTTCCATCATTAAAATACAGACTATATTTTTAAAAAAATATACAACCTTTAAAAAAAAAAAAAGACTTCAAGGTGGAGACAATTGCTTTCACGTTCAAAGCTCACAATACAGCCCCACACACAGCCAGGCGTTTTGTGCTCTCCGCATCTTCCACCTCCAGTTCCAGGGGACGCTTTTGACCGGAAGTCTGGGAATAAAGCAAAAGAAGTGTTCAGGAGAAAAGCACAGCTTCTATCAAACCTCCTCACAGTTCAATAAACTGGGGGCATTTTATGGAAATTACTAGTTGTCATGACAACTGAATCCTCCTAATACACCGCTGGAATCAAGATGCTTACCTACTCTCCCTGGTGATTTCTAACCAGTAATGGATGTGCAGTCGCTTTTTAAAAAAAAAAAAAAAAAGCCTTACAGTGACACAAAAGCAAGTTCAAACTGGATCTTTCTCCTGTCTAGCAACATTCTGGGGGAGGCATGACAGTATGGGCAGCCAGAGTTCCCAGCTCCCACAGAGTCAGGGTTACCAGGGAGTGCACACACTTTATTGTGCTACACCGGTTGGAATCATTAAATGCACTTTTTATTTAAAATGCCTCCAACTTGAGCTGAGTTCCTCAGGATATGGTCCCATTGTAGGCTGAAGTATACCCGAATGTGGACAGCAGGCAGCACCAACAGCTTTCCTTGGTTACTGTCTCCTGACACTGTCTACTTATGGCTACTTATAGTTTTCCTATTCATAAAGTCAAGAAAGAACAGAGGAAAAGGAACAAGATCACCGACTAAAACAGGACAGGAATAACAGACTAGTTTATACTGACAAAGAACTTGAAACTAATAAAACTGCAATCAAGAAACTGCCAAAATCAAACCACGGTAAAATAAAACTTTTACTCACTAACAACAAAAAGTTTAAAACAGAAATGAGCATAGACTACTTTCCCAAGTTATACATTTTCCAAAAAATTAAATATGTGCCTCTAACAGGATCTTCCATCTTGCCATGCAAAAGACCTTGAGATGGGCAAACCTATCTAATGTTCCAATTCATTCAACACATCCTGCATTATTAAATCTTCCAGGGTTTCAGGAACATATAAAAACAAAACAGAAACACTGGCTCAGGCTGGAGGGCTTGCCTAAGCGGCATAAGGCCCCAGGTTCATTCCTGGGTATGGCCAGCAAGTAGAGATGATCTACTACCCTACATTATGCAAACAAGCTGGCCATGACTCCCAATCCTCCTGCCTCTGTTGGAGTCAATGTCCTATCTCAGCCTTCTAAGAGCTGACGTTATATGTATGTGTCATTCAACCTTTTTTTAAATGTTGAGCACCTGCCTCTCCACGTTCAGTCATCAGACTTGCTCATCAGCAACTTATTTCTAGAATACAGTGAAGTCATCAGAATACCTGGGCAGGAGCCAGGGGTATGGTCACTGAGTTCTTTTCCTGCACCAGTAGATCCTGAAATTTTTTCTTCATGTACTCATCCTGTGAAGAAATCAAAAGGTACAGATAGGCTCCATATGAGGAAAAGCAAGTTCCCAGAGTGACTGGTAAATGCCCGAGGCTACCTTCCTGACAGCAAACCTCACGCCTTTGCTGAAGTTTCCTAATGAAGGGACATGGTTGCTCGTCTCCCCCTCCTCAGAACAGTCAGCGCTCATCAGACTCAAGGGTCATGAGCTCTCAATTAACCAGAGAACCAGACCCCAGCTATGGTTCAGAACCAGCAGCATGCTGCGGGGAACACTAGTCAGGAGGCCAGAACACAAGGTTGACACTGTGTCACCCCGAGTCCTCACAGAACCAAACCCCTCCCTCCCTGACACAAACAGAGTCAATGATGCAGGTCGTCCGAACAGCTGATCCAGCAAGTGAAAAGCAAGATGACAGAAGAGCCATAGCCTACAAAACCTCAGGCACACATCTTATGGATGAGACGGAAATAAACAGGACCAAAACACTGTTAGATAGTCTCGGCTATAGGAGGGAGAGGTGGAGCAGGGGAGGCATAAACAAGGAGAAATCTTCTCAAACGCACCTAACGAGCTCCCACTTCCTTCAAGTTAAAATCCCACAGGGTTTAAGCACCAGCACACAGAATCTCTGAGAGGCAGCCTGGCACTGTTCCATGTTTTGAGAAACATAAAACATCTAAGTGGAAGCTAGGAAGAGATGCTCAGAGACAGAGTAGGAACGGCTCTTGCAGAAGACCTGAATCTGGTTCACAGCACCATGTACATCAAGCACCAAGCACCTGTAATACCAGTTACAGGGGATCTAAGCCCTCTTCTGGACTGCTCAGGCACTGCACTTATACATACACATACCCACACTATGTAGCTTACTATGTAAACCAGGCAGTACTTGAATCACAGATTTGCCTGTCTCTGCCTCTTCCTGAGTGCTGGGATTAAAGAAAGCACAAATATGACCAGAAAAAAATAAATTAAAAAAAAAAACTGCACACACCTTTAATTTCAGCACCCAGGAAGCACACAGAGGTGAAATTTTGTGTGTCTGAAGCCACTGACACAAGCTAGGATCATCTTAGAAAGGAACAGCCTCCATCAGATTAGCTAGTAGACATATACATTGGGGGCACTTCCCTGATTAATGACTGAGGCAGGAGGATGAAAACACCCACCATGGGAGGTACCATTCCTAGGCTGTTAGTCCTAGGTTATATAAGGAAGTAAGCCATAGTAAGCATGCCAGGAAGTACCATTCTTCTACAGTTTCTGCTTCAGGATCTTGCCTTGCGGTCCCTCTTACCCTGACTTCCCTCAGTGAGAGGTTGTGATTTGGAAGTATAAAATTAATAAACTCTCTCATCTTTAAGGGTTTTACTCCATGTTTACCACAGCTACAGAGAAACCAAACTAGACTACAATCTCAACGCCCTGTGTGTTTTCTCTCCATATTTTTCTACCTCTCCCATGGCATCCAGGAAGAAAGACTTCCAACACGAGTGATATTATGGGAGCCAGTGCCTACTTCCTTGTCTTACTGGTGACTATGAGTGACTCACAGAGCACCTGTCTGGATAGGACCAAGCTCATTCATGTGTACTGTTCTGCTCTGTATATCATGGTGCCTAACAAATATGTACTCATTAACTGTGCTCTGAAGGGAAGAAATGTGTGATTAAAACCAACATGGAATACCTCTATGAATTAGGTAAGCGCTGCAAGTCCTGTGTGCTCAGTGCTTGGCCTCTAACAATGTGGTACTGGAGAACGTGGAGGCTTGAGAGCAGAGGACACTGGGAAGAAGTTGCATTACCGGGAGATGCCCTAGAAGGAAATCGTGGACCTCTTCCTCTTCCTTCTTTAAAAATTTTTGTGTGTGTGTGCTCGGCTCGGCACTCCCATACACAAAATTAAAAAATAAAACAAATCTTCCCAGGTCTTCCCAGCATGCTGTAGCATATAGGGATTAGAGGTCAACCTTGGGTGTTGGTGCTTGTCTTCCATCTTGTTTTTAAAAAAAAGTCTCCTGTTGCTCACCACCAGTCAAGCTAACTGGCTATGAGCTGCATGGGAGTCTACACCCCTAATCTCTCAGCTCCTCACATTTATAGGACAAATACTTTATCCACTGAGACAATTCCCCAGAGCCTCTTCCTCTGTTTTCTCATATCAATCAAGGACTGGCCTCCCCCATAAATGTAAACAAAATAAACCTTTTCTCACTCTAGGTTGATTTATCTAGGTGTGTCACAGCTAACAAAAAGCTAGTAAGTGCAAACATCCTTCTTCTGGACACTGTCTGGTGGGGCCATTCATGGCCTGTGGTTATCTGCATCATGTTCACAAGCAACAGGTCAACAGGAACATGAGGAAAAAAAAAAGCATCTCAACGTGAGAGCAAGTAGCAAAATTTCTGTCAACCCATGAGGACTGTATATCCAAAAATATTAAGTTACGACACCCCTCAAAAGCAAGCAGGAAGGATTCTCCCATTTTATCAAAAGCGAAGGAGAACTGGGCTTCAGCTTTAACTACTTGTGAATAACGGATTTTTTTTTTTTTTGAAACAAGATGTTCAAGGAAAATGGGCTACACTGACTCATACATCGAAGGCAAATACAAACCCCGTTGCTAGGCCTAACTGGCCAGCCCATGCTGTTTCCCAAAGCTAACACAGAAAGAAAGCCAACGCAGTGTGTCTGCCTCCTCCGTTTGGATCCCAGAAGCTGCCCTATTAAGGCCTGTGAAAAGAGCCAAAGGGTGGGCCTCTCTTTTCATCAAAGTTAAATCCCCACAAGCAGAGACACCTTTTGTTTCCAGACTCCTAGTCTCCAAGGCCCTTGCTGCTTTCAGATCTGTGTGGTCTAGTAAACATTAAATCGTCTGACAGATTTCTTCTGGGAGGAGAATCATGTTTCCAGGGTAACAACCAAAACACATATATCTGTCCCCTCCCTCCTCCTCCCTCCCTCCCTCCTCCTTTTTAAAAATATTTTATTGCATTTTTCATTTATCTTATGTGCGTGTGTGGAATCAGAGGACAACTCTCGGGAGTCGGTTCTTTCCTCCACTGTGTGGATTCTGGGGATCAAACTCGGGTTGTCAGATTTTGTGACGGACCTGGTGAGACATCTTCTCAGGTCCAGCTACCCTCCTTCTTTTAGGAATTTTCTGTTCTCCACCTGAGTTAATCTGACCAAAACTTAGGTGTGGAAGGTTGCAAGACATAAAGGAGACAATCTTCCAGAGTCCCATAAGGACAGCAGAGATTTTTCAAAGTGTTCCCAGAACAGAGAACCACAGATGGGGGAGCTTCAGCTACCTAGTGACATCACCCAGCCCCAAAGGAAACAAAGGCCATAAGGAAGTTCACAGAAAAGTGTGTCCAAGATGAAGAATAGTATCAGACGTCTACCAGAGAATCTGCTGGATGCTCTCATTGATTAATTCCAAGCCAACAAATAATCTCCCAAAGTTACAGACAGACGATCTTACACTGGCAGCAGGGCTTTGAGTGAGCTTGGCACAAAAAAAATCTCAAAGCAACAGGGACATGTGAACACAGACATCATGCAAACTAAAAGGGTACAGGTGACAGCCTGCACTAAGGACATGCTTGCTCGCTGGGAAAAAGAATGTGAGCCTTTAACAGAGCCACCTGGCTCATGAAGTGGCTGGGTTCCCTCAGGGAGACTGCCTTCCTGGACCTGCCCCAGCTTTCTTAATTAAAGGTGAAAAATGGATGGACCACAGCACAGTCTGCTCCACCAGGTGGACAGAGAAGGGGTAGAAAAGGGAGACAGCTGTGAGTTGTGGAAGACAAAGCTCTCAAAGGAATTTCAGCCACACTGCAATCTCAGGGCAAATGGAACCAGAAACCTAACATGAAGTGGGCCAAGAGTTGCTTGGAAAGAGCTGACACCCAAAATGTGCACGCGAACGAACACACACACATTCATTCATCCCCTCTCCTCCTATCCCCTCATCTCTCCCTTCCCCTCCCTTCCCCTCCTCCACATGCATGTGTGTACTGATTTAAATCAACTGTACACACCCATACCTACCACCTGATTGAAAACACTTACATAATGAACCCAACAGCAAAGAAGACTGTGTTCAACCCTCAGGCAGTGCGGGGCTCCCCTGAATTTTTAGACAAAGAGGAACTGCCTCGTACCCACCTGAAGCCATGTATGATTTAAGGCTTCCTCCGTGGTAAGCCTAGCCTTTGGATCCACAACCAACAGTTTCTTGACAAGGTCCAGAGCTAAGGCAGCAGGAGAATTGGGGAAATCATAATAGAAAGAATAAATACATTCCACCTGCATTATTAAACTACACCAGAACTACAGACCACCAGCCAGAGGAGAGAGCAGCTTGGAACCAGCTGATTTGGTGGACAGAGAGCCCTCCAAGACCCTCCCTCTCTGAATATAGAAGATTGGGACTTTAAGAATGAGGATGTACCCCATCTCTCCCTGCTCAGACATCACAACCTTTTCCGTTCCTTTTCTTGCTCAAGTTCAGCCAAATTTAAACTGAACTTCTACCCAGTTCTGAGATACTCACAATGGACCAGAAACTCTGAATCCCATTGCTTGATGGTGAGAGACCAGAGAGGGGCTACCTATAAGCAAGTCAAAATAAAGCCCTACCTCACAAGCAACAGCCAAAGGCTGGTTGTATGCTGCAATGCTGCAGCAATATTCTTCCTTAAATCCCTGATATTTAATACAATCACCTAGGTTATGTTATTAGACACTTGGTTTTTAACACACACCTTTTCTCCTGGGAGTTGCAAGGCTGCACTTTTAAATTACCGATGACATGGAGTTCTTACACTCTATTTACTCAAAGAATGTTTGTTATCAGAAGCTGTTTTTCACACTTGAATGGGGAGCAGGCCCTTGACTATGTTATACTAAACCTCGCACGAAACCTTCAATGTCAGGCTTATTTGACTATTTGTTTACAAATACAAGAAAATAAAGACTCCAAAAACATTAAGTAACTTGGGCAAGTGCACACAGCTGACAAGTAGCAGACCTAGGACTTACGCTCAGGCTCTGAAGCCCAGGCTCTTAACCATGTCCTCTTCCTGTCAAATGGTGCAAAGCAACAGAATGATCAGATGGGAGAAAAACAGCAGTCTGAGGAGAGACTCCCGCCAACAGGACACCCACACGTCAGTAAACCACGCGTCTGTGACCCTTCCGTATCCATACCCTTCTCTGAGACATCTGTCCAGACTTCAGGAATAAAGTTGTACTTTCCACTGGTGATCTGATCCTTCAGTGACACTTGGGTCTTATGCTCAGAGAAAGGTGGATACCCACTTAGGCTTAATATTGGTAGAGAGAGAAAGGAAAAAAGTCAAGCGGCATTCTCAACGGCATCAGATACACAGGCTTCTTCTCGGCACTGAGAAAAATCAGCTTTTCTTAAGTCAATGATCAAAAAAAATAACCTGAGCCAAACAGACGCTTTCTACCCGGATACGGGTACAATTTTGTCCGACCTCATCCAACCAGACCGTGAAACCATGAAAATGTCTCCTACCAGATGAAAAGAATAACTCCTAAGCTCCAGCAGTCCACAGCACGGCTGTAACCAGCAGTCCCATTGGAGACAAGGACCTCAGGAGCCAGATAAGTGGGTGTACCACATAAAGTTCTCATCAGGGAGGTCTCCCCCAAGATCTTGGACTGCCCAAAATCAGTGATCTAAAATTATAAACAAAACAAATTAAATCCAAACATTTTCATATCCCATCATCCCAAGAGACATGGAAACTGGATTACATGTCATACAGACACCCACCGTTAACCCAAAATGCACAATTTCATGTCTTTGCAACATATTAAAAGAAAATCCCTGGGCCTAGGAGCCTGAGAACCAATTTACTTATGATCATTATAACCCCACAAAAATTGTATGACTCCTGCCACAAACACATTAGGACACTAATATTTATGCATCCAAGACTCTTAAATTTCACAACACTATGGAACATCTAGAGAGCCTGGTGGGGGGAAAGAAATGCACCTCAAGTTTTATCTTTTGGAGTCTTCTTGGTTTTTGTCTTGTGACTGATTGTAATGGGAAATTCTAAAAGTGAAGCCAGGCTCAGGAAGAAAGGCGGGGTCCATGACTCACCCAATGATCCATTCAGACCCTCCTCCCTCCCTCTGAACACAGAAGCAGCTTGTTCGCTCTGGACTTCAGTAACTGCCCATTAGGTGGGTGGAACAGTGGGCCATCTCAACAATAACTGGTAAGATTGGGAAGTGAGATTCTCAACCTTGACATTCCTATTTTTTAAATGTAAGAAATTAAAAGGTAGTTGGAACAGAAATACGCAGCAGTGGCCACGGAGAGTTAAGCATTGTTACCTTGATAAGACAATCCTCTTCCTGAGATGATAAAAGAACATTCTCCGGCTTTAAGTCCCGATGTATAATACCATTTTCGTGAAGGTACTGTACAAAAACAGGCAGGACTGTTGGTTTATATGCACACATGTAAGGACACAGTTACCAACACCTAACAGCCCGGGCAATATTAAGCTGTATGATGCACCAGCACACACCTCAAACTCAGAGCTTGACCATGCCTGAGCACTTAGAAATTTATGTTACAAAAAACCTTCAAAACACATAAAAATAAAAAGAGCAGCTTAGAATGGCAAACCTTGTTTTTCATAATGATAGAAAACAAAAATCCCCTCACAGAAAGACAAGTTGTTTCAATAAACATTTAAATAAATGATAACATATCATAGGAATTCAATCAAAACTATACATTTTGTTATTCAATCCTTAAGAATATTTTAAAGGTACTTGCCACCAAACCTGACAACCTCAAGCCCCAGAGAGCACATGATGGAAGGAGAAGAAACTTTTCCAGGTTGTCCTCTAACACACACACACACACACACACATACATACCTCTTACACACACAAACACACACACATTCTCTCACATACACACACCTACTCTCTTGCTCTCTCACACACACTCTCACACACACTCTCACACACTCACACATACATACTTTCACACATACTCTCACACACACTCACACACTCTGTAACACACATACACACTCTCACACA